AATTACTAACAATACTGGAAGTAAAAAACATGCACAAAATTCTTACAACACTATAACTGTAGTACTTTTAAATTTTACAAGTAATATTATATTAATAAATAATTTAACTAAAAATTTATTCGTAAATTATCATTTTTTAAACGTAGGATGAAAATTTATATAAAATTACACTTTTGTTAGAAGTAAATAACTTCATGCATGATTTTTGTCGTTAACAAAAATTGTAACATTTTTATTTCCTAACAAGAAAAATTAACTTTTACCGATCGAGCTTCTTTAATTATAAACCGTAAAGATGAATTATTGTTTTTTAATGGAATATACTAAGTTATTTTACTTAACAAAACTGTGCTATTTTAAAATTAAAATACATTATGTTATGTATTATAATTTAAAAAAGGCAACATTTGCTTATGTAAGAACTTATTCTTTAAATATTTGGTATCCAAGACATTTGATTTTCTGAAATTGTTAAAACTTATAAATGTTAGAAAATTTATATTAAAAAATTTGCCATTTTGATTTTTGCATCTTGATAAAGATACATATAATTGACCGTGACAAAACAAAGGCTTTTTCAAGTATATACCAACAGTATCGAAACTTTATCCTTGACATTCATTTGTAGTCATAGTAAATGCCAAGGCTCAAAGAAATTGCTTTCTGTTTACATTAAGGTAGCTCCAGCGCCTAGTGCCGTATCAAAATGGGGAGACTAAAAATTAATTATTATTTTCTTTAAAATATGGTATAAAATTATCGTAGAGACTGTTGTAAGCCATATTCTACATTTTATCTGTTACTTTAGTGAGTTAATATAAAAAAACAAAAAAAGTCTTATGGTGCCCTAATTGATGAACTGTTACGGTATGCTCCTAAGTTCAAGAGTAGTTATACCTATTTATATGTACTCTGCAGAATGCAGACAGCTGAGAGCTGACTTGCACATGCAACTGTATACTTAGTCTCCGATTATTTAAAGATTTTGTTCGATAACAAGACACTTTTCTCATGTCATCGAAAACTGCGTAATAAAAAATACAAGATAGTATGTTTTTTACACCTTATGGGTTATTTATATAAGTGCAGCAGTAGGTTGTATATTGCGTAAGCTTGCATTTCCTATCTAATCCGTCTTAAAACTACGATTTTGTAAGCATGATTTCTTACAATTTTCATCGTCAACCTTAATTTTTTTTTATACGAATAGAAAGATGGGAATTCAAAGAATATAATTCAATTTTACTAACCTCGGTTGGGTTATTTATAATTTTAACATTGAGGCCACTGGAGCCACCTTAAATGCTGAGGAGGATATGTTTCACACATACTCCAGACACACAAATAAATCAGAATAGACTTTAACCAATCGACCCTGAGGGAAACCACTAGGGGTTTTGTTAAAGTCATTGTTTAAAACCAGGGGGTTGGTGAGCAGAGCGCGCAGAGGGTGAATCCCCACTTATATATATATATACACACAGAATTATTATCATTATTGTTGTTATTATTACTAATACTACTATTTTTACTAAAGTGTTGTAAAGATAAAGTTGAGGAGTTAAATCGCTTTCTTTGAAAATACATTTAGGCTTGGTTTTAAAATCTTCACTTTATTAGTTATAATTTTACCATAAGTTGTTAGCATGCTAGGTTAATAGAATATAGGGGTATTAACGACAACTTTTAGGTAGTAATTAAGGTAGAATGGTTGAAGAGAAAAAGAAAAAAAGTGATTATCGCTGAACCACGACGGTAAGGTCAAATTTGTTTAGTATGGTCTGATAATGTATTGAGTTAGGGCATTCGAGCTGCCATCTTACCATGATGTAATCTTCATTACCTTGAAAATAATAAGCGGTGGAAGCGCAGCAAGCAGACAAAATTTTCGTCGCTGAGAAGTTTTATGTTATTTATAGCCTTTCCCTCCTAACGGGAATTGCTCCAAAAGGGGAGCGTATGTCATGCCAGCTTTACTAAATATAGATTTCCCTCGTTCACGATTTTTGGCTTGATCCCATTAGGAGTATTTTATAAACTTTTTCACTTCATAATGCTGAAAACCGTTAGTTGAGCTTCTAAGGGTTGTTTTAAAAGCTCGCTTTGTTTAGTGTTTAATGATGATTTCCAAAATTAATTCGGAGTTATTCAGTGACACATTTATTAACATATCTCTGATAAAGCTATTCAAGTATTGGTTGAAAGTTGTGCCTGACACGTGTACCTGCCTAACCCCATAAATGTAAAGAGCTCTTTTGAATGAGATTTTTCCTACTTCCAGCTTTATTGATGGTCGGCTTCTTGCTTGCATATGTGTAAGGTTAGTTGCGCATGAGTTGGTATGTAATAAGCGATGATGGGTTGCCTCCTTTAGTTGAGGAAGGCGTTTCAACTTTTCGTATTTTTGTAGTGTTGGTTTTAGCTCATCTTCTTAACAAACATCCAGCGCTCAGAAATAGTATTACGATTGATGGGTCCATCGATGCGATACTATGTAGATTAGAAAGATTAAGTTCGGGGTTTATGTGCAAATAGTTTGCAAAAACATTCTTGTCTTTTATTAAAACTGATCAATCCCCATTATTACAAATGAATGGCTTTACACTTGATGCTCTGAATGCATTAATAACAATTTTTTTTCATTTATTTGATTCATAGTGTATTTTTAAAGCAATGGAAAGTTTTCTTTGCGTATGCGATGAACTTTCTTGTCATTTTTCATTTTGGTACTCTCTTCTTCCACGTTAATTTAAATAGGTGGAAGAATCAAATGTCCAATTTTTGATACATATTAGTAGCATTGGGAAGTGAGCCGATTATTTTAGTATTCTTCTTAAGAAAAAATTTAACTATTGGAGGATTCACGTGAGATGAATGATTGTCAAGATAAATGATATCTGGGAACTGTAGTTCCTTAGTGATGAGCCAAGTGTAACACACGTTTTTTAAGTATTCATAAGACGACTTAGTTGTCATCCATCCGTCGTCAGAGACACTAAGATCCCAACTACTCTGTGTATTCTAAATAGTTTTTTTCGTAATTTAATCTTTGTATGAAAACATTAATAGAAGTGGGGCTCTGATTTCTTTAGCACTGTACATACTAAAGACTGTCAAGCATTCCTTACTACCATCAGTAATTGTATAGGCTGAAGAAGATCCTTATTTGAGAAGTGTTTTGCCTAAATCAGGACACAGTTGTACACTGGCTTCGGCATAGTTAAGAACTCGTTCAGCTGAAATATTAAGTAAGCCTTTGCTTGTCAAATAATTTTTCTGTTTTTCAAACCTCTGTTTTAAATCATAAGTCATTACACTAGCCCTATTTGAACCTAACTATTGGACCTTTCTAAAAGACAAACTTGAGTGCTGTTTCTTGAAATCCTCATACTAAAGTAAACGAATAAAGTATGCAAGTCAAATAGTTCCATAATTTATGAGATACTGTATGAATACCTGGACGGTGTATAGGTGGATTCTCTTTGTTTATTGTGACAATGTACTTTTGGACTGCATCTAGGAGATCATCTTTTGTGACTGGATATTCTCTCTCAGTTCTGTACAGAATCTAGTTAACAATATTTTTTTTTGTTCCTTTAAGATAGTTTGTGATCTATCTCTCTAAGCTGCAGGTTTTCTTCTCTACTTTATAATGTACTTGTAGGTACAGTATATCCTGAAGCTATCTTTCTAAAAGAAAGACCAGAGTTTTTGTATGCTTCAATGGTTTTTTTTAATGTTCTTCTTATTATTTTTCCTTTTTACAAGATTTTTAGCTCTGGCACTTTTTGTCTCTATTTTTTCCTCTTTTTTGCCGTTTATTTTGAAATATTAATCTATTATCAATAAATAATCACTTATCACTGAATAATTATACAGTTACTTTAAAGAGTCAACTTTTTGAGGTTATGTTTCTGAATTTTCACTGTATGACAATAATTAATTTACTATTAATGTCGATAACAGTACCAACAACTTCAAAACCATTAATTTGCCCTCTCCTCACTGTTAAGTAATGGAACTCATTAATTACAAGTAAAAACTAAGTGATCTTGCTTTATTTCACTTTCCAGGCCGTAGGCATACATTCAAAGTGTATGTAAATATGGTATACGCAAATCGCTACTTCTAATGGATGGATGGTTGATACCAAGAAACTCAAATTTTAGATGTACGTTTTATGAAACACAGTTATAACAAAAAAATCTGTACTTAAAATATTGATTTTCATTTGCGATAATATTCAAAATTATCAAAGTACTTTGAAAAAATCTTAAACTTCATTGAGAATTAATCGCAATTACAAAAAAATTAAAAGTGCTAAGAGTTCACGCACTGGCTGATTCATGTGATCTATTAACACAATTGCCAAACTGCATATCGAAAACAAATATTGCATTGATGTAGTTGTTGCATAGTATGTAGTTGCATCCTTAGCAATATCATGCAAAAGTTATGAATCTTACTTGTATTTTACCATTTGACTTCTTGTGGACGATTTTGTAAGTCTGCCTGAAAAATATAACACAACACTTCTTCTTCATACATTTTTTAGTTCTAGTTTTGGGATCTAGTTTTAATATAGTGTAATTGCTTAAGACATGCAAACGAATTTAGCATTAATTCTGTCAAAATTACTTTGCACTGTCACAAACTTATATTTCTTATAAAACTTTATTCTAACAGACACGATTAATAACATTTTAATGCTCATTTTTCAAGGGAATTTTTCATAATTCCTTAGTATTTTTAATAGAAACAAAAGAAAAAATTTTTAGACAGGTTTTGCTAGAAATTTTTCAGTAATAAAAGAACGTCAGACAAAAACTTTCGTCAAATACGAAAGAAAAATTTAACTACGGCTTTTGATAGTAATACTTGCACCACGAATATATTTCATAAGTTATCTATCAAATTTACCAAATGTTGTAAGAATAAAATCTTATTAACACAAATAATACGTTCAGTGATCACTAACAAAATAAATAATAATTTTTCAGGATATTCAGAAGACTTTTTTTCTTCTTCTACTGTTGGTGATAGTTGGAGAATTTTTCTCTGCTCCTGCAATCACTCTTGCAGACTCTGCTGTTATTACTCTTTTAGGAGAGGATGCTGATAGGTAAATATATCATTTTTGTATATTATTCTTGTTGGTACTACCTCAGTAGAAGAAATACACTTCACTTATGCTAACTATTCGTGTTTATTTTATTAAAGTGTATCTATCCTGTCTTATGGCTTCAAAGGTGGTGTTGTAAAATAGATAAACAACATTTTCAATTCTTTTTTTATAATGTTTAGTAGGTTTTTTTTTTGGGTTGACTCATGGATTAATATTAATTATTGAGACAAAGTATTTATAGAAGAATATGGGCAGCGTGTGGCAAAACAAATGTGTAAGAGAGGGTTAATTTAAATGCATTGTATCATTAACATATAATATAAACAGACATTTAATTTAAAATACTGATCCATTTGGTAAATTAGTACCACAATCTTATGACGAAGGACTGCAAAGCTTCTTGTGGTGAGCCTTCTGACCACTTGTTTTATCTTACTCTGTGGACGACTGAAAGGTAAGATACTTATTTCCCTGTCTTTTGTGGTGTATGGTTTCTTTTGTGATGCTTGCAGTCAAAGCTTATTTTTAAGGACAAAGAGCTGTCATATTCTCTGTTTACTGTGCTACAGTTTCTGTGTATAGTAAAGCAGTCTTTTCTTGCACCAGCTGTTTTCAACCAACATCGCTACTGGAAGTCTTTCTACATTTTTCTTTTTCTAAACTGGCCACCATAGATGTCCTATAGACTTTTGGATTCCAGTTATGCTCCTTATGGATTGCATCATCTCAAAACTTACGTTTTGTTTGTGTAAATTTCTTAAACACCATAAGTTGCTGTAAAAAACTTGCTGTGACAAAGCCAAACAGAACGGTTTCTTGTTTTTTTGTTCAAGTATCAGTAATGTTCCTTCAGTGTACTTGAAAACTAAGTTGGGATGCATAGTTTTACTTATTTTTAGTAAAAAAAATGATTAGAATTGTTGTACTTTTGTTTATTATAATACTTGGACATGATTTCTAAGTTTGGTAACTTGCACATAAGTAGTTATTTCAGCATAGTAGTCTATCAGAACAAACTCCTACTACCTAGATAACTAAAAGCTTACAAATGGGCAATCGTACCACCGTATACTTTTTAAGAGATGGGAGGTCTACGTTATCCCCTCTCTTTACTGTTTATGTTTACCTGAACCCTGAGAAAAAGAGATGGTACAATGGGTAGGAAAAATATAAAATTTTGCTGAGTGTGGGAGGACATGCGAAATCTTGGAGTAGTGGAGAGAGAGAGAGAGAGGGAAAGACGTGGTGTCACATTTATATTGCCCTATTATATATAAAGTTTATCAAATTATTGTATGAAGAAAGATGGAAAGAAAGAAAGAGAGGGAGAAGCAGAAAACTTGAAAAAAAAGATTATTCTGAGCGAAAAGGTTTGATAGTAATTGGTGAGGCATTAAAAATTGACTACTATGTTACCATACACTTCTTTTTTTTTCACTGCTAATATTACCTCAGCGTACTTGCATGCATGTTGATAATAATACTCTGGGAATGTGAATCCGTGATCTGATTTACATACTTAACTTTTAACAATTATGTCTTGTTTCTGTAATGAGATTGTATTACATTTAAAATATTTCAATAATCAGAAAATTTAAAAAAATAAACAGAAAACAGTGCAATACTATGATGGACAGAGCGAAAACGTTCCAGCAAAGGGTAAATCAGTGAAAATGATGCACAGTAGCAGCTGCTACGTACTAATTTAAGTGTAGTACATGTTTATGCTCTGTGAGGGTAATTATGGGTCTCAGTGAGCATAATACTCGATCTGTAGCAAGTACTATGTATCATGCGTGATGCTGCTGCCTGTCAACTATCCATAGACTACAAATTTACGGCTGTGGCTACAGCTCATAGTTTTATTATCACCATGCCAAAAACTCTTTGTTCGTCATCAGAATCCTCATTGAGCTAGCTCTCTGAATGCACGAACAATTTTGTAAGTCATGGACGGATTGTGAAAATAAACTTTTTCGCTGATGTACCCATGCCGTAGTTCTCTTCTGGCTTTCTAAAAGCAGTAGCTGTCACGCAACCAGCTTAGACATGTTTGATACTACACGATCAAATAACTTATGCTATAAAACTTTCAATGTTTGTTTTCATTAATGACATCTACTTGTAGTTGGAATATTAATAAAAGAGAGAGAGATATAATTAAAGATAGAAAACTTTTTCTTATCTTTATTTTGGCTAATTTAGTTACTCCAATAATAAAAGAGATAGATAGAATAAAAAACAGAGAATCTCGTTTCCTTACTCTTTTTGCTGATTTCTTTCAAAACATTGCTACCATCTTGAGTATTATTTCTATAATTATTAATTGTTAATGTAATAACCTTATTTGTGAAATGATTTAAATCGTTTTATATAAATTCAGTATTTGAAAATCACTTTATTTACTCACTCGGTAAATTCTATGTTATGGCAGTGGTTAGAGCAGTGCGTAATCAATAAACGACTCCGTACATTGACATTATAATCTTGCTATGTTATTTTTTACTCTTATCTTTTTTAAACTACTATTGTCCACGTCAATTATGTGTACCAGTTAAAGGACTGGAAAAGTCAAAAGCTTATCACACTGGCTATTGTCTCAACTCACTACGTATCACCACCCAGTCTTCCATCAGTTCCAGTGACAGCTTGGATATCATCAGCAGCAACCATCTAATAACGCCTACAGCCTCCAGCATGGTATTTTCGTTATTGTTCAATATTCACAGTCAATTTGATTAGCACTAGCGATTTGGTGCATAATTTAAGGATCACCAATTGGTTGCATAATACACCATGATGCCATTGCGCTAGCACTCCGAAAGCGCTCGTGGTCTCTTGAAAAGATAAATCGATACACTATTATGCTGTTTTTCTAAAACCATTAAACTTTTGTCTATTTATTTCTCTTTTAACAGTACTAATCTTCTAATAGCACCTACGGTGCTGCAAGTTATCTACTACCACCGTCACTTAGCTTTTTCACAGAGTTAAGTTTGACGGTATGGATACTCGATTGCAACATGGGTGTCATGAACTTTATTATATAAAGGTGAGGTGACATATTATCAAGGTGACAGTCAACGTAGTATAACCTTGTAACACATTGTAATGCTTAGACATTAACAAGATGGTGTCTAAATACAACTTCTTTTGGGACAAGACATGTGCCTAGATAATCCATGATTCTTGCAAAAAGCTTACTAGAACACTATTTCTCAACTATTTGTAGACGTTTTGCTTAACATTTTCAACAAAATACATCAAACAATTATCGATTTTGATATGTAAATAGGTGCCTGTTTAGTGGAGAGCTCTTAACATAGGAAGTTGGGAGTGGCTTGAATTGTCTTCGAGGTGTCAAGTTGGCTGTTAAGATTGAATGGCAGTAACAAAACTCTGATACTCTAGCTACTGCCATTGCGTAGGTTTTGCCAAGCGATCAAAGACCCAGCGGTTGTTATGGGTTGAGTAACTAGGCAGTATCACTTATACACTAAAAGCTGCGTTAGTACTTGTGGTCAGTGGTCACCACCTAGTTAGTCGTAGGCTGTACGATTAGGTGCTTTGTTAAAAATTGGTACTGGGCACCATGACTAAAATTAAAATTTATGTAAAATTATCGAAATTATAAGTAAGTACTTATATTAGTAATGAGTAATTACGTTAATACCCTGGGTAATAGAAAGTAGTATGCTGTACTACCCTAATACTACTACTTTGCATTACGTTACTAGATTACTTTCGAAAACTTCTTTGGAAGAACAATGAAGTGTTGGTATAAAAGTTACGTTATAACATGCAGCAAAAATGTAGCACGAGAATGGTTACAGCAAAAAACATACTACAACACACGATCATGTATACTGTTTGATCCAATGACCTTGCCTTAGGTGGCTCGGTCGCCGTATAAAAGAAGGAAGTTATTTTATTGTGAAGCACTGAATTCAATTGCATGCATGTAATTATATTTAATACTACACTGGATATTAGGCTATAAATAATAACACAAGAATTTGAAGGGAAAAAGGACACGAAGCCAGAAAAAAACCCTTTTTATTTAATAACTACAAACTGAATGAATATGACGAAATATACAAATAAGCACGCACGCACGAGAATCACAATAATTTAAACAAAAGGCATGATTAACGTAAACTAAACGCATCGGAAATAACAAACCAAAAGATTTTACCGAGTGCACTCGCGAATGATCGAATCTAGGCGGTAAATCCACTAAGGAGAGATAATCGCTGGTCAGGGCAAGCTAATTTACCAGAGAGATAGTTTTAGAGGTTTAACCTTTGAGGTACTTTCGAGTTAGATTTGCTACAGAGTTCCGCACGCAATGACTACAACAAAGCGAGTGAGCGCGAATCAGCAATGTCTAGCACCACTAGTCGAGACTCGAGATTCAACATGGCAACGGTCTGCGCCGTGCGCGCGTTTCTTGTCCAAAGACTGATGCAACATATACCTACGTGTAGGTGTGTGCAGTGCATGAGCACACGCTTGGCCCTGCGAGTAGCGCGTATGCCGTAGCTCCACACTACTAGAGAGACACGCCTGGTCATGCCTACACACACTATCATGCGACCGAGGCAGTACGGATCTCCTGACGATACGTCGCCCGCCTTTAAATCTAGTACGATTGTACACCTGTGATTGAGACATCCACGGTAATATGTACACGGTAATAGGTACATGACCACGGTAATACCTGCATACTATTTTTGTTAATTTTAATAATAATCCATTCAACTTTTAGCCTCGAAAAAAATTTTTAAATAATCTTTAAGAGTTTATGCAAGACTTAAGAAAAAAATCCATAGGATTTTGTCATTACTCAATATTTTATGGTGCATTTAATCTGGATTTCTTAACATACGCCACGGAAATAGGTACACTTACCCGTAAGTGTTGAACATAAAACTGAGTTCCTAGACTGGGTCTGGTCCAAGGGAATGGCAAAGGAGTGCATCTCAATGGTGAAGGAA